TCCATCCATTCATCCATCCATCCATCCATCCATCTGTCCGTCCATCCGTACATCCATCCATCCATCCATCCATCCATCTGTCCATCCATGGATCCATCAGTCCATCCATCCATCCATCCATCCATCCATCCATCCATCCATCCGTCCGTCCATCCATGGATCCATGGATGGATGGATGGACGGATGGACGGATGGACGGATGGATCCATGGATGGACGGATGGATGGATGGATGGATGGATGGATGGATGGATCCATGGATGGATGGACGAATGGATGGACGGATGGATGGATGGATGGATGGACGGAAGGATGGATGGATCCATGGATGGATCCATGGATGGACAAACTGATGGATGCATGGATGGATGGATGGATGGATGGATGGATGGATACATGGATGGATGGATGGATGGATGGATCCATGGATGGATGGATGGATCCATGGATGGATGGATGGACGGATGGATGGATGAATGAACGGATGGACGGATGGATGGATGGAGGGATGGACGGACGGACGGACGGACGGATGGACGGACGGATCCATGGACGGATCCATGGACGGATCCATGGATGGACGAATGGATGGATGGATGGAGGGAGGGATGGACGGAGGGAGGGATGGACGAATGGATGGAGGGATGGACGGAGGGACAGATGGATGGACGGAGGGACAAATGGATGGACGGAGGGACGGATGGATGGACGGATGGACAGATGGATGGACGGATGGACGGATGGATGGGTGGACAGATGGATGGACGGAGGGGGGGAGCGAGGGAGGGAGGGAGGGAGGGAGGGATGGAGGGGTTGATGGAGGGACGGACGGAGGGATGGATGGAGGGACGGACGAAGGGACAGACGAATGGAGGAACGGTTGGATGGACGGATGGATGGATGGATGGATGGATGGACGGACGGACGGACGGAGGGATGGATGGATGGATGGATGGATGGACGGACGGATGGAGGGTTGATGGACGGATTGACGGACGGAGGGAGGGATGGATGGACGGATGGACGGAGGGATGGATGGACGGATAGACGGATGGATGGATGGATGGACGGAGGGATGGATGGATGGACGGAGGGATGGACGGACGGATGGATGGACGGACGGACGGACAGACGGACGGACGGACAGATGGATGGACGGATGGATGGATGGACGGATGGATGGATGGATGGACGGATGGACGGATGGACGGACGGACGGATGGAGGGGTGGATTGACGGAGGGATGGATGGATGGATGGATGGACGGATGGACAGGTGGACGGGTGGACGGAGGAACGGACGGACGGACGAACGGACGGACGGACGGAGGGACGGAGGGACGAAGGGACGGAGGGAGGGACAGAGGGAGGGACGGACGGAGGGACAAACGGAGAGACGGACGGAGGGACGAACGTTATGGATGGAGGGACGGACATATGGATGGATGGATGGATGGATGGATGGATGGATGGATGGACGGACGGACGGAGGGATGGATGGACGGATGGACGGAGGGACGGATGGATGGACGGACGGAGGGATGGATGGACAGATGGACGGAGGGATGGATGGATGGACGGATGGAGGGATGGATGGACGAAGGGATTGATGGATGGATGGACGGAGGGATGGATGGACGGAGGGACGGACGAACGGACGGACGGACGGACGGACGGATGGACGGACGGATGGATGGATGGATGGATGGATGGATGGACGGACGAAAGAAGGGATGGCTGGACGGAGGGATGGATGGATGCATGGATGGATGGACGGATGGACGAATGGACGGGTGGACGGGTGGACGGATGGACGGGTGGACGGACGGATGGACGGACGGAGGGACGGAGGGAGGAAGGGAGGGAGGGAGGGAGGGACGGAGGGACGGACGGACAAAGGGAGCGACGGAGGGACGGAGGGACGGAGGGACGGATGGACGGAGGGACGGACAGACGGACAAACAGAGGGATGGACGGATGGACGGGTGGACGGACGGACGGACGGACGGACGGAGGGAGGGACAGATGGATGGATGGATGGATGGATGGATGGATGGACGGATGGATGGATGGACGGACGGACGGATGGATGGGTGGATAGACGGATGGATGGATGGACGGATGGATGGATGGGTGGATGGATCCATGGATGGATGGATGGATAGATGGATGGATGGATCCATGGATGGATGGATGGATGGATCCATGGATGGATCCATGGATGAATGGATGCACGGATGGACAGATGGATGGATGGATGGATGGATGGATGGATGGATCCATCCATTAGTCCATCCATCCATCCATCCATCAGTCCATCCATCCATCCATGGATCCATCCATCGGTCCATCCATCCATCCATCCATCCGTCCATCCGTCCATCCATCCACCCGTCTATCCATCCATCCATCCATTCATCCATTCATCCATCCATCCATCATCCATCCATCCATCCATCCATCCATCCATCCGTCCATCCATCCATCCATCCATCCATCCAT